TAATACCTCATTATAGACATATTAACAAAAAACCCCCTGCAACTCACACTAAATTTACAAATTCATCAAAGAATGCGAAAGTCAGTTTCCTGCGCAACATTATGTTCAAATAACATTCCACCAAAAAAATTAATACCTTACCTCCAACCCAAACCATCTGCTTGTCCCATATATCCTTTCCTACTGCATCCTTGCCAACCCCGACTCGCCCAACAGACTCATACAAACAATATTTGAAAAAATATGTTCACATATACAAATTTCACATCATACCTTATTATAATATTATTAAATACACAATAAATAAATAATCATAGTATCCATAATTATAGTAATAATACTCTATACGTCACTCTCGGTACATACTTTTAAATTTTTATTGGTGAGAAAGAGATTGCGAGACAGTAAAAATGCAAACCTCAATGGTCATGTTGGTGAAAACCTTACTCACGGTGGGGCAATATTTTTTTGGTTGTATTAATTATTCATAGCCATATCTTTAATATTGTGACAAGACAAAAAAATGCAAACATGAATATGTCACAATCACTTATACTTCTTATAAAAAACCATAATTATTGTTGTAAAAGAATTTTCTATCTGCACCAACTACATCCTCTGGTTAGTATGTCACGTCCTAGCGACGCCTTGTAAATCAAATATTGATCGATCAAGATCTTTTTACTTACACATATTTTCTTGCTAAAGCCCATTATACACGACACCGATTACAAAAGTTAATAAACCATTGATATAGTAAACCTCATATAAACTATATAATTACACACTTCACACTTCAATCAATTTCCAAATAAGAATATATAAAAGTAATAGATATAAAAAGAAAAATTAGAATAGTATGATAAAAAAACACAAGCCACACAACAGAAATTAACATTATAACACCAAATTTAATTATTGATACCATATTCAAAAATTTAAATTGTTAAGCCACGCAAAATAAAAACGTACCGATATCTTTACATTTATAATTTTGTCTTATAACCTGATCACTATGATTGTCTGTAAATCTAATTCCACAAACAGTTACTAAAACGTCCATTTTGTTAATCAATACTTAACTAAAACAAAATAGGTTAAAGTATTTACCTATCAATACAGCAGGCTAACACATACCTTATCCTACTAATTATATTTTTAGGTTTATTTCCAACTATTCATTCCATTCATGTTTTACAAGATTAAAAATACTAAAACAAACAAATTCAACATCACGATAAGAACTTCAATACCTCTATAACTTATAAATATATTAAAAATAAATATATTTAATACATAACATTTTATATTACACCTGCGAAAATTCTTTGATTTCCATCTAAACATATTTTACCCCAAAATAAAATCACAAACCACATGAATAAAAGTCAAACTTTCTTCATGAAAAAAATATACATCATAATAGATCAATAGACAATTTACTCAAATAAACAATCGAATATCTTCATTTACTACCTTGATAAACCTAATTACTCTTACTACTGTAGTATATATACTACTCTAAACTCAACCAAATGACTCAAACGTCACATACATTCGGGCCATCTACACGCTGCAGAAAACTCAGTGTATTTCCTCTAGATCAAGGTATACAGCTAAATTTTCCTGACACTACATATACATACTTACGAAGCAACGACACACTATTTCCCAATTCGGATATTATACCCTGGACCTAATAATCTGGAGTTGCAACTAATACCATATATCTTAACTGAAACAATACAGCCACCCTAAATCATCAACAAGATCGTCTTGGCTGACCCATCGGTTCGAAACTTGGCTCATCTAGATATTGGACACTACCAAACACTGTGCCACCGAGACTAATCTTGACCTATATCAGAAAAATCTGTGTGAATGTTCGCCCTCTAAGTCCCATGCACCTCCAACAGTCACAACACAAGAAGAATCGAACTAAGGCCCACTCATCAATCATCCCCCGCCGACTATCTGTTTTACTATAACCACACAAATGGCCCACATTACACCCGAACCTGAGGTCCACACACACGCGGCATAGCACGCAAGAGACGCTAATAGAGTTTGGCGCAATAGTCGAGGTTTTAGTACATGCCTTAATACGTTTCAAGTTAGGCGGTTATTATCGATTTGGCTGCAAACAGATATGAGAATCGTGGTCGTACGTATATTATCGTATCCCATGCGGGTGTATAACGAGGAAACGATTTCGCACAAAGCTAGCGAATACGTAGTACTATTGAGCTCAAATGGTTAGTTACGCGAGTAAATCGTAGTATTCAAGGTATAAAATGACGAATTCCCAATTTATTAAGCACATCTTCCCATTCAATCCTCATGAACTCAGATGAAAGTATGTACTATTAGCAATAGCGTGTAGCCCGTGGGTGGTAAGAACACAATACGTTACCCGCCAGAGGGCCGCCCGGTGAAAGTTTCAAAATTTGAAGATAAGTAAAATTTGTCATATAAAATTGTTTTAGTCGTATTTTATTAATACTATAACGCAGGAAGAACAGGAGCGCGAAGTGAATGCCTCTGATTGTTAGGAACCGTGAGACTAAGCTAGTATTTTCTGAAAAAGGTAAGGAGCTAATCGCCATAATAGCTGCGGGAATCTTTTATAACTGCTACTGGCTCTCTTGTAGAAGGGATCACCGTTAAAGAATATGACCGGCCATGACAATAAGCATAGGTTTAAGTTAGTTTAAGCATTCCAGTGAATGCTAGTGATTGCAGGCGGATATGTGCCTAGAGTCCGCTTGAATTCCCTGTTCGTCGTGTTAGTGACGCTCT